CCAGTACATGTTTTCGAGCGATGTGAGTGCGTTGCCGCGCAGATCTCTACCGAGAAGAGCGTATAAGCACAAGAAGACATGTTGTCCACACTACAAGTAGGTCAATGGGAGAGGTCGTAGCGCAGTAATGTCTTCAATGTGATTGCCACTGAGCCGCCTAGACGCAAAAATGATATGTCGGCAACTGCTTGGCACGCACAGTATGCGAAGAGTCTCGGGGAGGTTCGGGGGCAGCGCACTCAGTTCGTTGCCTGCGAGCGATCTACGTGTCGTCAAGACGCTGGAAACAAGTAGTCGCAACGAACAACGACTCGAGGTTCGACGGCCAAAGAATCGCGGGCGAGAGTGAGCGTAGCTTACAATGGTTCATGACTCTACACTTGCGAGTGAGCTCCACTGCGACGATACCCAAACGTTTACATGGTAGGGCGACTCGCCCGCGTGCTGCTACACAAGAGGCGATGAATCCATCGCGACAAGCATCGAATTCGAGTACGTACTTGAGCGTGTTTGGCAACAGGAGCTGGGAGAGGTCGAGGTACCCACCGCCGCAATCAAACCCGCTAGCCGAGTCGATGAGTGCGGATAGGACAATGGCGTGAAGACTACAGCGTCGCGTTGGCGTAGTTGGTGACATTGCCGACAGCAGCGAACGAGTAGGTGGCCGTGTGGGTCGCACTTGAATCCGTCTGATCCGTCGACAGAGTTCCCACCAGAGCGTAGTAGTCGAAGTTGCGTGGGACGCACTGCTTGTTGAGCAAGCACACAGGCGCCGTCGGTGGGCAGTTGTCGTCGGCTGCGAGAATCGCCGCGTCCTCGGCGATCGCTAGTGAGCTGTACGGACACGACTTCATGTTGGGTTTGCACTTTGCAGCTACCTTGCCCGCTTATGGCGCGCACTGTACGTAGCATTGACACGGATATAGTGTACATCGTTTCGTACACTAGTAGATGTCGATTGGGGCACTTACTGCAATTGGTGTAAGAAACGCATATTTTCCACACCAGGTTTTCATCCTAGGCATGTCTTTAGACTGCACAAGGCTGCACCAAAGTGGCGTCCGTACAAGGACTCGAGGTTGGACGGCCACGCAATCGTCGGCGAGAGTGAGCGTAGCTTACAATGGTTCATGGCTCTACATTTGCGAGTGAGCTCCACTGCGATACTTCAACGCCTACATGGAGGGGCGGCTCAACCGCGTGCTGCTACGAGGGGTAAAGCATCGTCTCACAACTT